GGGGGGGGGGGGGGGGGGGGGGGGGGGGGGGGGGGGGGGGGCAGTGATCTGAGGCGCCTCCTGGAGAACAAAGACTGCAACACGCGGTGATGCCACCCACATTTTCTCTAATCTAATAATGGTCCCAGATATACAGCTGTTGCTGATCAAAGGACACGCATTCTGTTTTTCTTTACATCTGTCATTCATGCAGTTAGAAAATAATTGGCACACACTTGTTTTTTTTTGTTTTTTTTGATTCCGCAAATTCAAGCAGCAGACTTCTTGACAAACGTTTGAGCACACACTTAGAAAACAGTCAGCTGCAGTAGGATTATGGGTATTTAATGTAGGTTTACTCCAGCTGAAAAATGACAGTGCAGAGAAATGTACAATCATTTGGTGACAGAGGGATATTTTTCAGGCTGTGTTGCAGCAAATGTCTCCATCACGCACGCCCGTAAACATGTGCAATGTAGATTAGCACCAAGCTTCTGCTCCATAAAACTAGAGACAGAATTTTGCCACACAACAAGCAAGTCGTGGGTCAAACATTTCGTTGTGTTACCTTTATTTTTCCTGTCCACGGTTCAGCCCTCACTTTCATATTTGGATGTGATTCAGACTGGAGTGTTTTCTGCAGGATTAAGTATCCAAACTGTCCAATCAGGGGTTACATGTGTCCAAACAGACGACCATTTACATTACAGTTAGCACAGGATATCATTTAAAACAGACTATATCAGGATTGCTTCCCTGATGTGGAAATTTTAAAGATGTCAGAATGCTGTTTAGACTTCTTAAAATGTGGCTTTTAGTCCTTTCCAAACAAACTCAAATACAACTTGACTTTACATGGTCATCAGAGCTCAAACAGGTTTAGAAACCATAGTTTCGTAACTCATAATTCACAATTGACCTTTATTCACGTGTACAATGTAGGAAATCAGATGTTACTTCGACTCCTTCGCATTTCTCGAGAGTCCTTCATCACATCCAGTTCCAGTTTTCCTGGATCTGATTAGCACATGTAGCTCAACACGTTGATTTGGAAGCTTGCAAGTGTCACCACAGAATATACATTACAGAAACTGTCCTGTCAGCAAACTAACAAACCAAAAAAAGGAGAAATTATGATCCGACAGAGGAGCTGATTTGCGTAAAACATCACATACATGAACATTCGAGTCTTAAATCAGAAAATGTATCTAATTCTACATCCTGATTGAGTCCATTTGGCTTGTCATTCCTGCTTTTAATGGTTGTGAACACGTTTTTGTCTTATGACTGAAAATGGACACCACTGTGGTTGATATCATGAAGCCTTTCTTGTTTCAGTGCTGCTCTTTAGTGTCTGTCCATGAACTCCTTGTGTGTAAAAGGGCTTTTTGAAATGTTTTCTCACTCGTTTACCTCCTTTCTTTTGTTCTGGGATGGCTATAAGACGGTAAAAAAGAGGAACGATCAGAGCAGAGAGCCTAGGAGAAAAGACATAATGGCTAGATGAAAGGAGACTGGACACACAACTGACCCAGGAGGGCTCACTCTGGTCCAGGGACTGTCCTCATTTAGGTAATTCGTCTGGTCCTTTTACTCTGCTCTCAGCCACTCAGAACCACGAGCCAACTCCTGTGACTGCGTCTCACTCAGACACACACAGGTACACTCGCATAAACAAAGACACACTATAATGCTGGACCTGCACAGATCCAAGGTCTGCTCGCCAGATGTGTCCGAGGCTCTTTTTTAAACGTCTTCTCCAGTGGGGGAGAAGAGGAGAGAGGGTGTAAAATGAACAGGGAGTAGCATTTTTTTTCAGAGAACCGGGGGTTAAGGGGAGAGGTTTTGCTCTGTTTTACAAATCTGGTTCTACTTAACCGGGGCCCTGGAACACATTTCATAAATTGCAGACATATTTTTTTCAGAGTGGTTTTGGGGAAGATAGTTAACCGGCAGTAATTTCCAACACATGGCAGCCGTCATGTGATATTTTCACAACAGCAGGCGGATGAGTTTGTTCCCTTCTTTACCGCCGCCCCAGGAACCTCCTTCTCTTTCTGTTAGCCTCTGCTCTCTTTTTTTCCGCGCCTGTCCTCCGCCTCTCACATTTGATTTCCCCATCTGTCTCTCACGGGCACTTAATGTTATCTCTTGATTTCAAACCCTTCCTCCAGCGTCCTCATCTCCTTTATCCCCGCTCTTCCACAACTCTGGATCCAACCTGTGCTTCACACACAATAGCCGCACTCCCTGTTAGCCTACGACTATCCATCCTCCCACCAGTCGTTCCTCAAGCTCTGCGCCTCCAAATAAAAGAGGAAAGCTGCTATGTGAAACATAAGCATGGCAATTGATTTAGCACAAGCAGATAGAAATATGGCACTTTTTAACATGGACACACACACAAAATACAGTGGGGGAAATAAGTATTTGACCCCTTGCTGATTTTGCAGGTTTTCCCACTTACAAAGAATGCTTATTTTTTACTCATCAGATGGTTATCAGTTTTTATAAATTCATATGATGTGATTTTCTGGAATTTTCTTTGGGATTCTGTCTTTCACTGTTAGAATGTACATATGATTAAAGTTATAGATCGTTGCATTCTTTGTAAGTGGGCAAACCTGCAAAATCAGCAAGGGGTCAAATACTTATTTCCCCCACTGTATGCTCCACTGAGGTTTTAGCACCATAAATGCAAAGGAAGTCGACAGCTTGTGTGTGTCAGTGACTTCCAGGTTAGTCTTGAATGGATTTATTTGAGGTGAACAGAGAAGGTTTTGTCTGTAGAAGCAGAATGGCGATCCCATGATGTGTCTGTAATGACCAGTAGCGTTTCTATTCTATTGGTTTATATACTGGCCTAGTATGAATAGCTTCCCCCAGAATGTGGGCTAAGGTAACGTTATGGATGTGTGTGAAGCCTGAGAAAATAAGGCCATGTGTCATCGGCGTGGGGATGTGTGCTGGGAAAACACTCAGACCGGTCAGACCTGGCATTAGAAAATGAACTAATCTGCTCAAAGAAAGCCAAACAAAGCTTTCCAAGGCTTATATCTGCACTATATCTGTCCGTTTCCCCGAACAGCTGCATTTATATCATTATTATTATGTCATTAACTTCTATAAATAATGAGCTCTGCTTGGCTCCGGAAAAAAAAGGTTCCACTGTTCTGGTAACTTTGGTAAATCTCTGCCTCGTTCTTTGCCACACTTCACCTCCTGTTTCCTTTACCTCCCCCTGACCCTTTTCCCGTCACTGTCATTTTTTTGTAACCGATTCCTTTTTGTCTGTCTTTTTCTTTTACAAGACCCCGCGGTTTAATTTTGACTGGCAACAATATGTGGCGGGAGAGTGTTCATTTTGAGAGGATGCGGAACGGGTACTGTGAATCATTTTTATAGTTGCTTAAACACCAGCTTCCTCTCTTTCTGCAAGAGAGACTTTATTCCAACAGATGGATAAAACAGACATTTCTATAAATCTGTTTTTAACAGTTTTTTCTTTTAACACAGTGGGCTTCTAATGTTATACAGCACATATGTTTTAATGTCCAGCGTGTGTGTGTGTGTGTGCTTGTGCTTGTGAGGGAATGTATTTGTAAGTGTGTGTATATTTGTGTACACACTGCTTGTGTGTGTGACTGTTTGTGTGCTTGAACAGATGGTGTTAAGACCTTTGTGTGCGATTGAGAAATCTCCTTATGTTATGAGAGAAATGCAGATATGATGAGACATGTAGGGCTGTCAGCACTGATCAGAACCGTTTGCAACATGCAACATAGAAAAAAAAAAGATCTAAACAGAATTAATGCAAATATGAATCCAAAGATCATATTTGAACAATTTGTCAAGCTGTCTTTTCCAATAAGTTATTAAATCAAATTCATATTCATATTATATCTTTAATCAGATAACATAAAGATGTGAGAGAATATTTGTTAGCTTCCCATCTAAGCACACACTGATGCTGCTTTTGACCCACAGAAATAAGCAACATAAACTCATTCTTGTTAGAAACAGATTCAGTCCCACTTTACTTCTCGAGAAAAATGAAAAAATAAAACGCGTGATGGTGTTCCAGTATTTTTTTCTTTTTTTATGAGACATCGATGTGATGTGAGATTCTTATGTATTAGTATTTAGGCTGAAACATCTAATTTTATTATTATCTGTTCCTACATCTTTGTTCAGATTTAACCAACTGGGACTGAGAACTGTTTTGATCATATTGTGAGAGATGGGACACTTGTTTTTTGTAGGGGTGTTTTATTTTATGATAAATAACCATGTGATGAAATACAAAAAGGAAGCGTTGGAGTTTAATGCTTTGCAGGCCTAACAGTTTTGTAATTTTGTAATCATATTTTAACCACATTTAATCATTTCTCATCCCGGAAAATGCAGCTGTTTTACAATTCCCAAGTATTTCTATGAAATTGTGATGTTTTGCGTTGCAAGCCCACATTTCCAGTAAACACTTGTTTTGAATGTTTGTTTTAGAGTAGGACAAACATCCAAAGTAATGAGTTGATCGTAATTACAGTGCCTCATAGTGACTGCTAATAGAGAACACTTGTTTCTATGTAAATTGAAAGCACTCTTTGCCCGACATCTCTGCATCATTCAGAGCCAGAGACTAAAAAAACCAAGCAGCAGCCGCGAGTGAACTTTGGGGAACAAAGTGTGATCACCGGCGCTTTTTCACCCACTGAGGGAATGAATATATAAAGAAAAGAGGAGAGAGAAAGAAGGAGGAAGAGCACTGATGCTTTTACCCCCCCCCCTCTCTGCACCCCACATCTGCTGGGGAGGGTAATACATTTAAAGAGGATAGCAATTATAGATGTGTGTGTTTGTGCGGGCCAGAGAGAAAGCGAGTTGTTTTGCTTGCAACATGCATCCTTGGAGCTGTTTCCGTGTGTGTTTCCGTGTGTGTGTGTGTGTGTGTGTGTGTGTGTGTGTGTTTGTGTTTTGGTGGGCTTGCGGTAGGGCGTTGCATCCATACATCTTCTTGACAAGCGGGTGGAGTTTGACGGGACATGCTCTGCATACTGTTCCATCTGGCTGTGCGTGTGTGCGTTTGTGTGTGTGTGTGTGTGTGTGTGTGTGTGCGTGTTGCATTCCTCTTGCATACAGATAGATTTTTCCTCACTCTGCGCGGACTCGGCCTGAATCTCAATCGTCCCACCTGTCCCTCAGCGCTGCTCTTTAACACACCTGCCCTTTCACTCTCCCGGTGCCTCAGCATCACTTTGTCTCTTCCATTACCCGCTCCATTTCTTTTGCACGTTAGCGGGTCCGTTCTGCCCCCCCCCCGACACCGCCCGGTCGTGGACA